TGTGAACACACCTCTCCTAAACCTGCCATAGAGGTGCAGTGGCCAAATCTCACCGCCCCTCTTTTACCGCAGCAACCCAGGCTGTCAGTGTGGGGTTGTTTAAACTGTACGAATAATTTACCAGACATTGGAAACCAAGATTAGATTTATCCAATAATGTATTATGTTAAACTAAAAAAAAATTACTCCCCTACAACGTTGACAAAAAATGACCATGGAACTAATGACCCATGGATTAACATTAGATAGCTAGTGTTTGTTAATTAGTGCTTTGATAATGAAGAATGTATTGTTCTTTACCTCCTGAACAGCAGCATTATTGACCCATCCAGATTGAAAGTACATATACATATCTGTACTTTTATAGACATTCACCCTGGAAGGGAGTGTAAGGTAAGGGATTCTCCACAAGATAGATGTAAAAATCGCTGAAGTGGAGCTCTGGCAGGCACCTGGCGGTTTAAGGTGACTAAAATACAGCGGCATGTTGGTCAATTGTTTTGCCCTCCAGGCCACCGCACAGGTCACGTGACTGAAACATATGTGTCTGTTTTATCAATACAAGCGGAAGCTGCAGGCATGTTTTCTTTCACAAAAGACATTTTTGTCGACATTGGAACACAATTGAACATTATAAAAGTCATTTTTTTGGTATGAAAGCTATTTTTTTGTAATAGTGAACATTACTTGTTATATTATTGTTATTATATAAATACTCTAACAAAATGCTTTCAGAGCTTCTTAAAGTGGATGAATAAAGTGGGTTGGGATTAAAATTATCGCTCCACTTGTCTGTTGTTTGGTTTTGGTTTCATTTCTTATGAGTATTTAAAGCAGCACTCAGTAGAAATTCCGTTTTTGTCAAACAGCGACCCCTAGAGTCGCTGTGGAGCACTTGTACTGTCGTGAATAGCACTCACGCAGAGATGGCTCGCACTCACGGCCGGATCCCCTCGCCCTGTACACCGGTACCTGTTCAGTAGGATGGACGCTGTAACGAGTGGAAATAAGGTATGGCCCCTTTAAGAGCTGCGCGCGCCCAACACCACATGTATACAGCGCCGGGTTATTTCTGTTTGATGCTCATTTTATCAGAATTTTATCAGATCTGTTTTTTTGCCGTAAAGCAATTCGTTACCTCGCGAGACCTGATATCACACGATACTTCCTAACACTGAGGCCGGCGGTCTGCCGGTCCAAAGTTGCAAGGGTGGTTTTGCGGCTCACAGGCACCAGGGGGGTGCGAGACGACCACCATTCAACACGAAATCAGTAATATAAACATTACAATGACTCCAAAGCTGTTCGGTTAAGGTAAAAAAATTACTTAGTTCACCTTTAACACAGTCTCTTTCCTGCTAGCGCTCAGTCGGTTTTATCTATACAAGCTGAAGTTGTAAGCATGTCTTTTTTCACAAACGGCTTTTCTTCCAATACGGGAACACAGGGAAACACAGGTGGAGAATCCTTAAGTAAGTGTCTCTAAGTTTCTTTTACAAGTACATCTGAGTGTAATGCTGTTACATGCTAATTTCTTTTTCTTTTTTTCTTAGTTTGTAATCACACTGGAACAATTTCAACTGTTGCTGGAGGAGGTGATAAGTAGCTCTAATTTTTAAGACCTTTTGTGAACAGGAAGGACCTCTATAATGAACAGATTTTCTAATGTTGTCTTATAAGTGATTCTTGCATCTTAGAATAAAAATATATAGTAGTTTTAATGCTGAATTAAATGTTCGTGTGATATGGTAGGTTGCATGCTTAAAGATTACTTCCTCTTCTTGGCCGGGTTAAGTTTGTCTATGTCATAAACCAAGGCTTCTAAATTGTGAATTTTTGGGGGCGTGATATTTAAATCACAATTGTTTTCAGCCATCAAATTTATGATCATTCATGTGATAAGATTGGTGGCAAACGAATGTTTCATAACCGTTCAGGGGTGCGTTTCCCGAAAGCATCGTTAGCCAACTATGGTCGCAAGTTGGTCGCAAATCCCATTGAACTCTATTGGTAACGACGGAACTTGCGACCATAGTTGGCTAACGATGCTTTCGGGAAACGCACCCCTGATCTGCTCTCGTTTCTACGTTAGATTGGTAAATGAGGCAAAATGTCCTGGAGAGATGCATATTCATTCACACAAAAAGTTTTATCTATGAGTATGCATCCCTAAGTCTTTCTATGGCCTGATCTTTGTGCTGTCGAAAGTGCCGACTGAAATTTTTAAAACACGGATCCATCTATCAGCGGATGTCATTAGGTGTAAGCGCTCGGTGAAGAAAACATGTTTTTAAAGCATTGATCATTGTAGCCAATCAGAGACATATATGTTGAGCGCGTAAACGCAATGGCCAATCAGAGATGTTTAAAAATCCGTTCAACAGCGCCGCTCAAAATGATAGAGGGAAATGCTGGTATCATCACATTTTTTAAATTTCAGTATAGACTTATACCGAAGTCGATAGTAACAAATAATTGTGTGTTTGATTTGTCTCAGTCACTGGGTTTGCTTGTAAAGTTGCATCTGATCGTGTTCCTGTTCCACCTCTTGGTAAGATAATATATAATCCAAAAATATGTGATTTTGGAATACCATAATTTAATTTGAAATTATGTCAATCTCTCTCTCTCTCTCTCTCTCTCTCTCTCTCTCTCTCTCTCTCTCTCTCTCTCTCTCTCTCTCTCTCTCTCTCTCTCTCTCTCTCTCTCTCTCTCTGTCCAGACAGTTTAATAAGAAGATATTTTTTACATACAGTCAACTTCGCGTATACAGGCAGAAGCCATCTTTGAAATACAGTATCTACCAGTCGATCTATGAACGCCGATCCAAGCCTGCTGTTCGTGCTCACCTTTTCACAACTTATAGCTCGTTCACATTCTCACCAGCGCACTTGGATCGGCGTTCGTAGATCGACTGGTAGAGACTGTTTTTCAAAGATGGCTTCTGCCTGTATACGCGAAGTTGACTGTATGTATAAAATATCTTCTTATTAAACTGTCTGGACACTGACAAAGTTCTCAATGCTTCGTTTTGAAGGTAGGGACCCTCATTATGCTACCGTGTTAGTGTGGGGCTATTTTCAGCCTTGTTAGTGGTATTAACAAGCGATTTTTATTTGTCATTACACTATGCCCAATATAGCCTACTAGCGTTATACTAGCTTTATCGGCTAAACTGTTTTTAGAGATAAAACTATTTACATTCGATAATCATGAAAACAAATCTCAGATAACGGTTGACTAGGTAACAATGTGTAATTAGACCAAAGGTTCATTTTGCGCCGGAGTTCTCCTTTAAATTTTAGGGGACCCCCCCAAGAGTCCTAAGTCATTTCGAACCCTGGTCAGCACCCAATATGTGATCTTAGTCTTTATCAATCGCTCTCTCTCCAGATCGAGATGTCCTTTTGCCTGACTCGGAAGTGCGCCCAGGAGCCTCTTTGGCTCGGCCGAGGACAGTGTTTAAATTAAAGCTGCTGTCAGTTAATGAACATTTGATGGATGAACTTGCGACTCAATTGGACTCACAAAAGTAATAAGACTTTTCAGTTTTATGGACGTCGCCATTTTTGATATCACTTTGGTCACTGTCGCTATGGTTACTAGTAAGAGAATACCAGCTTGACTCTCATTGCAGTTCATACAGACAGTATTCGAGACACTATGTAAGTTGCTGTGTGAACAGAAGACAAATATTAACATAATAACATTGAAAATTAATAAATATAAAACAAATGTGTGGCAAATTCCTGAAAAAAATCTGACTCCTTTGTTTTTTCTTTCTGTGCAGATCAGATTGATGACACTGGAAGCTCTGCATTCTTGACGCAATTAACAGTGACAATAAATACACAGTGTATTGAGACACACTGACAGCAGGAATGTGTGTGAGATCAGAAAATGACAGTTTAAATCTTTGACTCTATAAGAACTGTGGTGAGATGCATGGAGAAATACTTGCAAAACTACAGTGTGGTGAGAGTTTTAGACACTTGTCAAAAAGTTAAAGGTTGTATCAGCGATTTCAGGCCCAAAAAAGGCCCAAACATAAATGATCACATTCATCTAATCTTTCCTAACGATCTGCTAGCTGCCCGCCCTATAAACAGGCCGTCAAAAAAAAAAACGGGTCTCTGTAGGCAGCCTAGGCTCTGAGATCTGCACACAAAAACAATTGGTTTCACCAACCAAATAAATAATAAATAGTGTTCCAACCAACCACCGACAGGGGGCGGGTGTTGTGAGGTTTTGCGCTCGTGCACGGCTGCACGCAAAGTCGGAGCTGAAGAAGAAGCCAGCGTCTATCAACCAAGCGGCAACCTCCCTGTCTCTCTCTTGAAAAATCCAGTGGTGGAGGAAGTACTGAATCTCAGTACTTAAGTAAAAGTACAAATAACCAGAGAGATATTTACTTTAGTAAAAGTAGAAGTACCACAATGACAACCCTACTTAAGTAAAAAGTAAAAAGTACCTGATTTTAAATGTACTTTAAGTATTAAAAGTAAAAGTACTTGCATAACAATTTATTCTCTTAATGTCTATATTCTAATGATTAATAAAACAGTTAATTCTAACTCATTCAACCTAATACTCATATAATGATGTTCAATATGATGGAAAAGCAGTTATATTTTAAATATTTGTCACCATTTCTGAACAAGCTTGCAATTACGCAATATACACATCAAGCTTACTATATACCCTTACTATATACGGTATATATATATATATATATATTAGGGGTGTAACGATACGCGTATTCGTATCGAACCGTTCGGTACGAGGCTTTCGGTTCGGTACGCGGTACGCATTATAAACCGAACGGTTCGTTGGACTAATTAATTACATTTGAAAAATAAAAGGGTGTGTGAAATATAATGTTATGCGCTCAATAAGGTAAACGACGCCCAAACGACGTAACAGGCAACGCCTCTGCCACCCCCGAAGAAAAAAAAACATTATGTTAGTTAGGCGTACGCGCTGAACAGACTCGTTGCAAAATGGCCAGTAATGCGTTTAACGGACCAGAAATAGAAGATCCTCCAATAACCAACAGATCTGGTGTTTGGGTCCACTTTGGTTTCCCTGTAAGCTATGATGGTGATGGCAAGAGAGTGGTGGATAAAAAAACAACGGTATGTCGCATCTGCTACATGACAATAGGGCACACCAACGGGAATACTTCAAACATGTCAACTCATTTACGACGACATCACCCCAGTGTGTCAGTATCCGGAACAAGACGAAAACAAGCAGAAACATACATGACACAATCTATCCCCGCAGCATTTAGACAGGCATTTCCAACTGATTCAAACAGGGCAAAACAGATCACCGCGGCGATTGGTACATTTATAGCCGCGGATATGAGACCTTACTCTGTAGTGGAAAACGCAGGTTTTAAGAACATGCTTAATGTAATTGAGCCCCGTTACACTATTCCCTCGCGAGCCCATTTCAGCCAGACTGTAATTCCTGCTTTGTACCAAAAAACAAAAGCCCAAATAGAAAACCAATTGGCCAAAGCAACAGCCGTTGCTCTGACAACAGACGGCTGGATGTCAAGGGCTACACAAAGCTACCTGACTGTAACGGCACATTACATTACCGCTGAATGGGAACTGAAAAGCCACGTTCTTCAGACACGCCCCCTTGATAGTCACACGAGTGAGGATTTGGCCAAAGGGATAACAGAAGCAGTGGAAGTGTGGAAGTTGGAGAGAGCTAATCTAACTATTCCTGTGACTACTGACAATGCCAGGAATATAGTTAATGCTGTTGTTGGAGCTGCTGGACTTGGGCCACAAATAGGGTGCTTTGCCCATGTCATTAATCTAGCATCTCAGAAAGCAATGGCAGTGCAGCAGATCTCTCGTCTCCTAGCAAAGATCAGAAAGATTGTGACCTTTTTTCACAGAAGCACAACAGCAGCCCATGTGTTGAAGACAAAACAGGAGTTGCTGCAGCTTCCTGTTCACAAACTCATCCAAGATATACCAACTAGATGGAATTCAAGCTATGATATGATAGAAAGATATATTGAACAGCAGGCTGCAGTGTATTCTGCAATGACAGACAAAGCTGTGAAGAAAAATGTTAAAGACATTATGACTTTGTCTGAAAACGACATGCGACTGGCTGAGAATGTTATCACAGTTTTGAAACCCTTGAAAACTGTGACAACCCTTATGTGCACCGAGTCCTCTCCATCTGCGTCCATGGTCCTTCCTATGAAAATGATGATCCTGAAATCCATGGAACTGTCTGATGATGACAGCCCAGCAGTGAGGGGTGTCAAAACAGCCATCAAAAATGACCTGCAGCAGCGATACACGTTACCTGATCTTCAAGATTACCTACACAAGAGCACAGCTTTAGATCCACGTTTTAAATCACTGCAACACTTGGATGCTACCACTCGCCTGAGAGTCTATGAAGCTCTAACCACAGAGATTGTGACTGTGAGTATTGAACAAATGGTACTATTTATATTTTGCTGCTTACTATATTTTTGATTAATTATTTGCATACCTTTAGTTTTAAGGGATTTTTTAATAACATTTTCATATCAATACTTTGACACCGAATACATCCAGATGTTATGTGCATTATAATCTGTTTGTAATGTTGTATCCCATGTCCCTGTGTATAACATTTGCAATTGCGTGTGTGATTTAGAACATTTTGTAGTAAATCCCATGCTATGGGTTATATGATGAGCATGTATCTAAGATTATTGTTGTTTATATTTCTCAAGGAGCAAGCTACGAGCACCACAGAGCCAGCAACCTCCATAGAGACAGTGGACTTGGAGCCCTCAACATCACCTCCACGAGAAAAGAAATCAGCCATGACTGAGCTTTTTGGAGGAATGTTCATGACCCATCATCATGATTCAAGCCCCAAATCTGTGGCCAAATTGGCAGAGGAGGAGATGAAATTGTACATGGTGGACTCTATTCCCCTGGATGCAGATCCACTAAAATGGTGGAAAAACCATGAGCACTTATACCCTCATTTTGCCAGGTTGGCACAGCGTTACTTGGCTGTGCCTGGAACCTCTGTCCCTAGCGAGAGGGTATTTTCCACTGCTGGGGACATTGTTTCATCAAGCAGATCTGTGCTGTCCACAAAAAATGTGGACATTCTCATCTTTCTGAAAAAAAACTTAACAATTGAGTAAAAACACACTCCACATAAAGAGTTATAGAGTTCCAGATAAAAACAAAATTGTATTTGTATCTTTGTATTTGTTCATAACTACAACAATATTACATTTTCATTTTTTTTTATAAGGAGCTGTTTTTGTTTTACACAGTATGCTGCTAAGAAAATACCATAGAAGATGGGTAAAGTATTGCTCCATCATTGTTCAATGTAAACAAAAAAGTCATACTTAAGTTCTAATGAATAAAACATTTTAAAAAATCTGGCAATTTTTTTTCTTTTTGCTGTATCTAAACTATACCGAACCGTACCGAACCGAACCGTGACACCAGTGTACCGTACCGAACCGAACCGTGAATTTTGTGAACCGTTACACCCCTAATATATATAAACACACATATTATGTTAAAACGCTGTATATGACGGCGTTTGGCTGTAAACGCGATTCATTTATGGCGTAATTCTGAACCTCTTGGCTTGCCATACTAATCCTAACCAAACGTATAATACACACACACCCCACATCACTACTAAACCTACCAATGCGTTTCCTATGCATGTAAAAACTCATTTTCGCGTATAAATTGTACGATAAACACACTGCGTGCTATAGAGACGCATTTACACTCACCTAAAGGATTATTAGGAACACCTGTTCAATTTCTCATTAATGCAATTATCTAATCAACCAATCACATGGCAGTTGCTTCAATGCATTTAGGGGTGTGCTCCTGGTCAAGACAATCTCCTGAACTCCAAACTGAATGTCAGGATGGGAAAGAAAGGTGATTTAAGCAATTTTGAGCGTGGCATGGTTGTTGGTGCCAGACGGGCCGGTCTGGGTATTTCACAATCTGCTCAGTTACTGGGATTTTCACGCACAACCATTTCTAGAGTTTACAAAGAATGGTGTGAAAAGGGAAAAACATCCAGTATGCGGCAGTCCTGTGGGCGAAAATGCCTTGTTGATGCTAGAGGTCAGAGGAGAATTGGCTGACTGATTCAAGCTGATAGAAGAGCAACTTTGACTGAAATAACCACTCGTTACAACCGAGGTATGCAGCAAAGCATTTGTGAAGCCACAACACGCACAACCTTGAGGCGGATGGGCTACAACAGCAGAAGACCCCACCGGGTACCACTCATCTCCACTACAAATAGGAAAAAGAGGCTACAATTTGCAAGAGCTCACCAAAATTGGACAGTTGAAGACTGGAAAAATGTTGCCTGGTCTGATGAGTCTCGATTTCTGTTGAGACATTCAGATGGTAGAGTCAGAATTTGGCGTAAACAGAATGCGAACATGGACCCATCATGCCTTGTTACCACTGTGCAGGCTGGTGGTGGTGGTGTAATGGTGTGGGGGATGTTTTCTTGGCACACTTTAGGCCCCTTAGTGCCAATTGGGCATCGTTTAAATGCCACGGCCTACCTGAGCATTGTTTCTGACATGTCCATCCCTTTATGGCCACCATGTACCCATCCTCTGATGGCTACTTCCAGCAGGATAATGCACCATGTCACAAAGCTCTAATCATTTCAAATTGGTTTCTTTAACATGACAAAGAGTTCACTGTACTAAAATGGCCCCCACAGTCACCAGATCTCAACCCAATAGAGCATCTTAGGCATGTGGTGGAACGGGAGCTTCGTGCCCTGGATGTGCATCCCACATATCTCCATCAACTGCAAGATGCTATCCTTTCAATATGGGCCAACATTTCTAAAGAATGCTTTCAGCACCTTGTTGAATCAATGCCACGTATAATTAAGGCAGCTCTGAAGGCAAAAGGGGGTCAAACACAGTATTAGTATGGTGTTCCTAATAATCCTTTAGGTGAGTGTAGTGTGACCGGGTTGATATATCTATGGCAACCAAACTTCACTGGTGAGACAGAAACGTGCGATGAACGGACGGTCAGGATGACGTTTTGGCAGGGGAAAAACTGATCAGAAAATGTAACGAAAATGTAACAGAACGTAGTAGAAATGTAGTGGAGTAGAAAGTATAATAATTGCTACAAAATGTAACGAAGTAAAAGTAAAAAGTATGCACTATTGATTCTACTTAAGTAAAGTACAGATACGTGAAAAATTTACTTAAGTAAAGTAACGAAGTATTTGTACTTCGTTACATTCCACCACTGGAAAAATCAGCCAAAATCAGATTTTAAAATGGACCGAATAAAGCTCTTTACGAACTTGACGTGCGATGCAATGCTGACATTTATGCGCATGAATCACTCCACGCACAAGCTCAGAGCAATATTGTAAGTTGCTGCATGATAATACATTTTTATAGCAGAATAATAATACATCACGATACACAGTCTCACTTTTAGTTACGTCTTTTAACTATTATAATATTTCGAAGGGCAAAAACATGAACTTTAACTATTGGCTTTACTTCTTCAATCACCTGTCACTTTAGCGCGAGGCCAGTAGCATATAGCATTAGCACCTCAGCTCCACCCACGTCCCGCCTCTTTGCCCATTTTATTTTATCCGGGAGTGACGAGAGGTGACGCGCTGCCAAGATGGCGACGGCCGGCCCCGCCCACTTTAGGCTTTAAAAACGCTCTTCAGAAACCTACGGGTGACGTCACGGACTCTCTGTCCGTATTGTCTATGCTATCAACGAACAAGAGAAATTGAACATGGCTGAGTCAATCCCCAAGAGGAGGAGGAGGATTAGGGCGAGGGAATGACATCGTGTTTATTCCAAGACACGAATAGTTATCGGGAAGTCTTTTGAAAGGTGAAGAGAACTTGCGCGTGCATGATTCTTTTTTTCATGATGCATGAAACGGGAGGGAGGGGCGAGCTAACTTGGTTTGTTTGGGATCTCGCTTCAAACACAAACAGAAGTGACGACACCACAATCGCTGATACAACCTTTAAGGTGTTAACTGTGTTTATACCCTAAATTTCAACCATAGAGTGTTATTGGAGGATATTATAAGACTTCTAAACATTTGTGAGTTTTTTAAAAAATATATTTTTTTTAGGTTGGAAATCAAGGGCAATGAAGTTACCATATGGTTCCTCGCCAGTCTAGGGTAATTTTTTCCCCTTAAAAAGTGTATATATAAAAATATAATAAAAACGCATAAACTTGTTACAAACATAAAAATATTTATTTAGGAACATTTTAAATTATTATTAGGAACATTTTAAATTAAATTACACCTTTTGGCAGAGGGGCCTATATCACTCTGGCCTGGAGTGTCTAGGTTGTGGGTGGGTGGGAGGAAGTCAGGGTCTGCCTAGTCTCGCGTAGCCAGACCTTCAGACTGACAGCTGAAGGTCTGGAACTCATAGCAGCTTTCTTTGGCCAAGGCCCGCCCATAAGGCCGTTTGACCGACATGTCAAACAACCAATTACAGTTCGTTTCGTTCAGCGTCACGTTTCGGGGCGTGGAAATGTCCCCACAACAACAGACTGGCGTGCTACAAGTCAGTCAGCATAGAAAATCAAAGAAGGAGAAGAAAACTTCAAAGAGTCTATGCCGTGAACCTCGCATACTTTTGAGAATCCTACGTTTAGCTGATCTTGATAAATGCTCATTGTCACTCATGTAAGGCAAGGCAAGGCAATTTTATTTGTATAGCGCATTTCATACATAGCAGCAATACAATGCGCTTCACACAATATGGCATAAATAGTTAAAATGATATATATATAAAACACCAGCAAAAGACATTAAAAAGATTAATACACAAAAATATTAAATAATGAACCAACATACCTATACATACATATACACACATATACATATACATACACATACACACATGCATTCATTATGCATTAACTACAAAAAGCATCTGAAAAAAAGCTTGGTCTTTAATCTATTTTTAACAATTGTAATAGTTGGAGCATTTTTAATGTTTTCTGGAAGCTGGTTCCAGAGATGGACGCCGAAATATTCAAAAGCAGCTTCCCCTTGTTTTGTTCTAACAATGGGCTTTAGTAGAAGCTGTTTATGCTGTGATCTAAGGGGTCTTGGTTGAGTATACTGTTGAAACATATCATGAAGATATTTAGGTCCCATCCCCTTTATTGACTTAAAAACTAATAAGAGTGCCTTAAAATTAATCCTGTATCTAATTGGGAGCCAGTGTAAGGACTTTAAAATTGGAGTTTTATGATCTATTCTTTTAGTTTTTGTAAGGATCCTGGCTGCACTATTCTGTACCATTTGGAGAGGTTTTAAAGTCTTTTTGGGGAGTCCAGTTAAAAGCACATTACAATAATCAATCCTACTAGAAATAAAAGCATGTATGATCTTTTCAAGATCGTCCTTAGACATACATTTTTTAAGTTTATTGATATTCTTAAGATGAAAATATGCTGATTTTGTGATTGTTTTTATGTGACTATCAAATTTTAGATTATTATCTATTAAGACACCAAGGTTTCTTACCACTTCCTTTGCTATTAAACCCTTTTTTTTCGAGCAGGGTAGAGATTTTAAATTTTTCCTCATTTCTTCCAAAAACGATAACCTCAGTTTTATTTTTATTAAGCTGGAGAAAGTTCTGTGACATCCAAGTATCTATTTCTTCAATGCACTGACAGAGAGTTTCAATGGGGGTATAGCCATTAGGCATTAGAGGTAAATCAATTTGTGTGTCATCAGCATAACTGTGGTAGGAGATTGAATTTTTCATTATGAGTTTACCAAGTGGTAGCATGTAAAGATTGAATAATAAAGGACCCAAAATTGAGCCCTGGGGAACTCCACAGGACAAAGATGTTAGTGTTGAGGAACAATTTCCAATTTTAACAATAAAACTCCTATCACTAAGATACGATTTTAGCCAGCTAATCACAACACCAGTGAAACACAACAGTTTTTCTTCCGCAATCACACGTCTGCGCTTTGTTTCCCGGCGGACCGAAAATAA